TGCTTCTTTATATGTTAAGTACATGCCACTTTCATTTTGCTATGTTTACATGTCCTATTATCAGAAATAAAGTTATAATCTAATTCCTGTCAGAAGGTATGTCTCATTTAATATTTTATAAGCCCTGAAAGGCAGAGAGAATAAATTTCTACTGTACAGTGAAAAAAGTGCAATTTTTAGTTGTAGAGTCATAAAATAAAACCCGTTTTGCCTCTCAGTTACTTTCAGTGCCTCCTCCCTGACTGTACACTAGAATGAAACATGACACAGTACATGTGAACACTGGGAGCTTTTCATGACATGAAGCAGCTGCTTATTCCAAGAAACCATTATCCATGTTATTTTATTTTTTTCATATTCTTTGCAAAATCCTAATTATAATTAGTAAAATGTTAACATATGAGATCACACAAATGTTAATCAAAAGGGACCTATAAGTAAGTAAAAAGCATCAGGAATAAAAGCTAATAATTAAATCTATGTTTAATTCATTATGCTGGTAAGGATTACAAGAAAATCAGAAATGCTTTTATTTCACTTAGGGAATTCATTTAATATGGGATACAAGTCAGAATGTAAGAAATTATATTAAAAGGTTAATAATGATTAAATGTAGGCATCCTTAAGGTAAGAAGTAGAAAGTAAAATAGTTTAACAGATGTGAAAAATTACCAGAAGGTTTCTATTTATATACTTTTTTATTGTAAAAATACTGTACATTTACATGATCAAGGTAATGAGTACATTTCCTATCAAGCATTGTTACCTCCTCCTTTTTCCCCTACCATCCCTTCCCTCCAACCTCCACAATTACCTCCCCCCACCACCTAAAATTGTAAAGTTCGTTTTTTAACATAGTGTCTTGTGCATCTTGTTGTTACAGTGGGTCAACTTGTATCCCTATTTAAGCATTTTGTTTTTGCCCTTCCCTTTCCAAATTAGAAGTGTATATACAAGATACCAACATGTTTCTAATAGAAAAATCTAATGTCTTCTGGGAGAAATTATAGTGGAAATAGATATCTTTATAATTAATTATTGAGGAAATAATTAAGAAAGTAATGTCATCAATAAGATGTAAATCAGACTCCCTTTTTCCAAAAGAATATCTAGCTGCATTACTAATATAGCTAACTCTGGTACATCCATCCTCCGGAAAGTTACAATACAACCTTTGGTCCTAATGTAGCCACTAATGCAAGCGCCAAACATTTTTTTAAAATTTTTTTTATTGTGAAAATACTGTACAGAGGGATTACAATTACATGGGCAAGATAGTGAGTACATTTCTTATCAATCATTGTAGCCTCCGCCTAAACTTTTTAAAAATGTGAATGACCTAACATAGCAACCAGCTGAATGTACACATGTAACTGAAATACTACTTATTTCAATCTCTAAGCCAAACTCACCTTTCTTCATATGTATGTGTGTGTGTGTGTGTGTGTGTGTGTGTGTGTGTTAGGAAAAAATGCATAATCCATCCCTAAGTAAATTTAAAGATGTGGAAGATTATATTCATTAACATGTAACTTTGCTGCTATATGCATATTCTATGAGCTAACACACACATACACACACACATACACACACACACACACACACACACACACATGTTCATATGCAGCTTTTCCAGATAGTCTCCTCTAAATTAAGGGTAGCATATTTAAAAGACTATAATCAGATAAGGGCTTATTACATGGAGTTGATTGATCATAATAAATGTGTTTCTCTGGATTTGCTTGAGATACAGTTTCTAAAAAAATACTTCTTCAGGTGTGAAAGGGTAATAAATGAGAATATCCCTCAAGCTCAGCACCAGAGGCAATTATGTTAGTAAAAAGGAAGAGGCCAGGCTTCCATGTTACACTTGTGTTGGTAGTTTCTACACAATTCTTCTTGACAAGGCCCAGTAGAAGTGTGGAGACATTGTTGCAAGATATCTAACTATTCAGTTCTCTAAATATATATATACACGTATGTGTATATATATATGCATATATATATATATTTCAAACATCCCATTTCTAAAGTTGGTAAAACACCATGATTTTTTTTTACTTTTTAATAACTATAAACAGATTTTCATTTAAAATACTTCAAGGCTCGGTGTTAGCATCGCATGCTGAATAAACCTAGATAACCTAGGTGCCTGGGATCTGAGGATCAAGGTTCAAAGCATGGGCAGAAAAGTTCATAAGAGTTGATTTCTGTTTAACCACCAAACAGCCAGAGGAGGAGGTATGGGCCAACTAAGTGGTAGAGAACCAGCCTCCACTGAAAAACCTAAGGGACAATGCCCAGGGCTTGAGTTCCAGCCCCCAATACCACACACACACACACACACACACACACACACACAGACACATACACACACACACACACACACACCTCATAAAAGAAAAAATAATTAGTAACTTTTAGAAAGTAAGAAACAATGAATAAACCAGATAACAAGCATCAAGAGCAAATATGGCAAATAAATTTCTAAATCTAAGTTCTGGATGACTCTATTATTCTTGCATACACAGCTGAAACATTCTTAAATAGGCATATTACTTGACTTTAAAGTGTAAAGAAACTTTACTGATTTAAAGAGAACTGGACTTTCAGGCTTAGGATACTATTAGTTGTAATCATAGCTTCCAAAACTCTCTCACACATACCCTATGCATTATAAAAAATACATATGGCAAGAGAAAAGTAAACCCATTATAAGCTTTCCTATATATATATATATATATATATATATTTTATATGTATTTTTGTCAGTCATGGGACTTGAAATCAGGGCCTGGACATTGTTCCTGAGCTCTCTAGCTCAAGGCTAGCACTAAACCACTTTGGCCACAGTGCCATTTCTAGCTTTCTGGTGGTTAATTGGAAGTAAGAGTGTCACTGACTTTCTTGCCTGGGCTGGCTTTGAATCATGATCCTCAGATCTCAGTCTCCTGAGTAGCTATAGTTACAGGGATGAGTCAACAGTGCCTGGCTATAAGTGATATTTTTAAGTGAAGCATTGTATTACAAGAACTAAAATTTCAACTCTTTTAATCACTTTCTCTGTTCAGAAGGCTGTTAATTGGACAGGGAGGAAAATCGGTCTTCAACACACTGAATGATTTATTTGTTTGTAGGAATGTGAGAAAAATGATCACATCTTCAAGTAACAGATTACAAAATACAACGAAAGTTCACATTATAGCCAGGTTGATGAAAATTACCTCTAAGCTATTAAAACAGAGCTAGTGAATTTAATTAACCTTTTGCCATAAAATAGTCTAGAAACTTCTGCAGAGGAGGGTTTCTTCTTCCTCTTGCACCAGCTCCCTGGTGTTTCAGAAAATGATTTGATATGCAGTCACTGAGACAAATACAATAACCTGAGACTTGCATAGATCTTATCTAATTCCAACAAATCCACAAAAACTATAGTAAGAATTCTAAAACTTAATGACATATCTTTTGTTTTAGTTAAGAAGAGATAATAATGGTTGACTAACATGTAATTATTTGTTTTCAGAATGAATAACATCAGTAATTTCTGTCTATGAATATTCGCCAAATTTCTAACTTTTGAGGCTCTGAGAAAATCAAATTAAGTAAGAAGTTTTTGCAAATGTATGTTTAATGAATACAAGCACGGAGTCCTCTAAACTTCATTTCCAAGTGAATAAATAGTTATTTCTATTTAAGTATATTTGCAAAACGTTTTGGTAATTCTTCCATGGGATCTGAAGCTTAAAAATCAGCTAACAAGAAATTGATGCCTGTTTCTGGAGTAAGAGAATTTCTAATACGAGATAGTATCAGAAGCCACTACATTTTTTCTAGATGTTAAAGGCCAGAATTAAAAAGACTTGGTGAAGGTGAAGTTTATGCAGATTTCAAAAATGACTAAGCTGCTCTTTAAATATTGATATACTTTGTAGAACACCATGCAAACATTAGAAGCTATTTTCTTTTTCTTTTTGATGTAGAAATATTCTCTTAAGAGGTTAACAACCTCTAACATATAATTGTTCAAAAATAAACAGTCCTGGTCTCTTTCACTAGCAGATACTTCTTAGTTTTATTAACTCATTATATTGTTGAGATGTTGAGAATGAGAAGTCACTTTCCCAGTAGGTCAGCAGACATTTTTGTTTAGATTATTGGTTTAGGTATCTTGTTTCATGATGGTAGAATATATCTCCACCTTTTCAACACAATATGATTGGCTCAATTTACTTTTATAGATAAATTGGTTAACATTTTCCAAAAGAGTATTTTGGAAGTCAACTTGTAGTTTCAGAAAAAAGGTCTACAAATCTGTGTTGGAGTAGGAAAAGAATATTTCTATGTTATTGAAATTAGTAGTGCTTTCAGAAAACGGAAGATTTGTAGGTTCTTTTGTATTAAGATTAAGACATGGTTTACTAACAGCTATTAAAAATTATTTGTTTAAAACAACTTAAATTGTTGATAATTGTTAATATGCTAAATCTTTCAACATGAGATATTATGCCTAAGAAGTTAATTGTTAGAGAAGGGAAATAAATTTACAAGATCTATCAAAACTTTTTTGGTTATATATATTTTGAAAATACTGGTAGTAGAACGTACTTTAAGGTACTATGTATATTTAATCAAAGTGTCAATGTAACCAACTTTCTGTCACACAAAAAATTTGAAATATATACTTAAAATATGTGAATGCATGTAGTTTCAAAGGCTCTTGCTTAGTTCGCATGGTAGAGCAATTGCCTAGCATTCATGAGTTTTTGGATGCATAAAGCTTCTACTATATTTGCTATCTCTCCCAGTGCTTAGGTTTTCATGCACTAATTTAAACCAGATTTCGTATTACCATTGATTCTTGTATTATCATGGAAAGAGAAATAATATATATTTTGTATATGAATAAAAAGTAACTTTAAAATAATTTAAAATGAAAACGAATATACCTTTGTTATCATGGGACTATTCATGCTATTCCTTACAAGATATGATCTACATACCTGACAGGTAATGTTCTGTCTCCTTTCCTCCTGTCCATTTCTCTTTGTGGAACCGGATACCACCGGAAATTCAGTTTCCAGTTAAAACCTCCATAAGTCATGTCTGACCCAGCCATATATTCAAAGGTATCATCACTAATCACATCAATAATAGGGCACACAACTGTTTTCCTGCAGAAAAAAATAAAACCATTTTGCATAGAAATGATTATTTAAATGACACATTAGCTTCTTCAAAATTGATTATAGCTATTATAATAGAAGTTCACAATTTTATGATGTATACATATACCTTTAATTTTGTCTTTCCTTTTTATCCTAAGGAATTATTTCCTCTGACGATAGCTCCTTTCTAGTCTATATTAATGCTATCATGTGAAACTTTATCAAATACACTAATTGACTTTCAAGCTGATTTGTAAATGCATTCTAAGTATGAACTCAGCAATATGATCATGGTTTATTTTTCCTAAAATTTTCACCCAAGGCATGATTAGTAGCACTGCTTTGAGATTATGCATCATTTCAGCAATGAAACAATGAAAAGCAATAGCATGCAGGGAAGCAAGAATGGAAGATAGAAAATTAGACCTGGTGGCTTGCATATCAAATAGGGTAAGTGAGTTTAAAGAGAGAGAGTTCAGAGAAAACCTTTATGGATTAAACACCTCTTAGAAAAAACAAACAAGGAGCAACATTAAAATCATGAGTTATTGGTATAAGTAAATGTTTTCTATGAAGAACATAATCATTACACTTTCTGGGTGTTCTGATCTAGAGTCAAGAGCTTATAGAAAATATTTTAAGATGGGAAAGATAGGCTGAATTTAGTTTGTCATGTTTTAGTTTACTTTTCCCAAATTGGAAGAAAGTCAGGAAGTTTAATGTTCTTGATTGTAGCTTTTATAGGGCAAAAAATGTCACTTAAAGATAGGATTAGCTCTCCTTTAATCTACACTGTGCTTTCTCTCACTCTTCCTCTACTCTCAGTTGAGCTATTTCATTTTGATAGCAACTTTCCATCATATCTGCAAGTAAGTGTTCAGGTCTATTCAAGATTACATTGTCTCTAGCTAATTCTGTACTAAACCTGGTTTTCATATTTAGCAGAAGGTAGATACACAAGGAAGCTTCCAAAACAAAAAAATGATGTGCATTACTTTTGTTTTGTAACAGTAGTATTATGACAATTCATAATCAAGTGAATCTTATGTTCTATAAAAGTGGCGAAAGTCCTAAATTCTCCAAAGTCCATCCAAAGCTCATAGCCTGGACAAGCTTCCTGGTGACTCTGGACCCAGCAAAATCATCTCTTTTTTTATTGAATTTAATAAGTAAACTTGTGTAGAGAAGTTAGTTCTAATAATAAGAATCTAATAATAAGAAGGTGGCTCAGTGGTAGAGCACTTGCCTTGCATGCATGAGGCCCTCAGTTCGATTCCTCAGCACCACATAACCAAAAAGAAAAAAAGCCAGAAGTGGCACTGTGGCTCAAGTGGTAGAGCGCTAGCCTTGAGCTGAAGAGCTGAAGAATAGCTCCCAGGCCCAGAGTTCAGGCCCTACGACCGGAACCCCTCCCCCGCCCCAAAAAAAAGAATCTGTTAAGCAGACTTTATTATCTAGTTATGGTGATGTTAGAATGCATAATCAGACAAAAGTTTAGGATTTATTATATTCAAAAGTAATGCAATGCATTGTTACAATAAAAGTAAATAGCTTACACATGACTAAAATAAAAGAGTACACTAAAACCTTCCTAAGATAAAAATAAAACATCTTTTAAAAGCGAGAATAATGTTCAAAAGTAAACAGAAATTCAAGATATTCACTTTGCTTTGCCAGTCTAACTCTCCTGTGGGTACTATACAATACACACAATGTTATTAGCTGTGTACTACACTTAGTTAACAAAAAGGTTCCCACTGCTCCTTGAACAACTGTGGTTCATTTTGCTGATAGCTTCCATCCATCTTCCTGGCAAATACCGAAAGCTCTCCAGTTATGGGATGTGCTGGAGCAAGCTCAGACTAAGCACCCACTCTCCTAGGTGGGTGTATAATTAAAAATGTAAGGGAGAATCTTCTATTGCACATGAAAAGACTATGCCAAGAAGGTGTTCTGTAATACTTCATAGTCACATCTGAAAGTGTGCAGAGTCAGTTATCTTCATTAGGTGCTGAGAAATTACATTCATTCATCATCAGTGTTTATGGATTTCTGCACAGAAGCTTGTACCTCTTAGAACCCTCATTAGAAAGAACTGCAGGTATGGCTGGAGGTTCTTAATTTCTACAAAACGTTGCTCAAGTTTCCAATTTCATACCTTAAGTGTAGAAAGTGGCAATGTTGTTTCAATACTTAACCTTAATGTTGTATTGTCTGCTTCCATATTTAATTACAATTTTATTTCAGTGATGTGTGTGCATGTATATTTTTAGGATCTTCAATGTGAATCTGAACTAGACTCAGACTGAGTTCACTGATGCAGTGAAGGGAATACTGTGAAAAATATGAAAAAATGATTTCTGTTTTTGTTATTTTTCTGAACACTCAATACTGGGAAATTGAGGTATCAGCTGTAATCTTCCCTCTTGTTAGGTACAGGTAAGATCATCTACCATGCCTACCTCACAGAGTTTTGTGAGGATACATAAAGGTACTTTGAAAATGTGCTTATATTGTACTATTTCAGGTGGGACTGATTTCCTTCACCTAAAAATAAATATTCAAAATACTTGTGTTTGAATGTTTTGATTATTTCTTGGTGAAATACCCACGCTCAATAAAAATACACGTATTCTTATTGTTTTAGGTAAAATAAAGGGACTATCTCTGCTTTTTGGATGAAATTATATGAAATAAACTTATGAAAATAACAGCGTGGCCAAGAAATTCTGACAAGTAGCTGAAGCTAACCCATGCAGACTTAACACATGAATCCTTACCTGTCTTCCTTTATTCTTGCCAGCAAGGGCTCCAGCCAACCTAGTGTACACTCACAGTGAGCATCCAGAAAAGTGATGACCTGCCCTTTGGAAGCAGCTGCTCCTCGAAGACGTGCACGTATTAACCCAGAGCGCTCTTCCATCCTGATGATTTTTACTGGCACTTCTAAATTTTTCACGTAATTCTCCAATGTCAGTTTGAGAAAATCTGTAACATAAATAGGAATCCATCAGAAAACTTTGGAACTGCTTTAAGACAGAATAGAGGTATTTCTGAGAGGGAAACTCAGCAGAAGTGATGGCAACTCTTAACACACAGTTTTGCATCATATCTAACAGAGATTTTAATGAATAAATGTCACGTGTCCAGTCATACAAAGGTCAATTAAAGGCAGAGGGAGTGTCACACTTTGCAGTGCATTTTGGGTGATTCCTAGAGATAGGAATATGAATAAAAAATTAGTTAATTCTTCCTTGATTAGCAATGACATAGTGTATTAATCAAACTTTGGTAAGTGATTGAGTGGTTATAAAGCAAATTACAGGTTATTGTGTTGTTACATCTTTGAATAACAGAAAATTTTCTAATAAGAAACAACACCAAAAAAAATTGATACCTCTTTCACTTGCATCATCGACCAAGATGACCTCAGAGAGCAGGGAATGTGGGGAGCGATTTATGACGCTGTACACGGTTCTCAGGAGAGTGCTCCAAGCTTCATTGTGAAACACAATGACTACACTTGTGTTTGGAAGTTCATCTGGGTAGACTTTTGTCTTGCATCTGGAGAAGAAGAAAGCAGAGGAATGTTAATAAACTATTTTTTCTCTCTCAACATCACAAGTAAAAATATTCATAATAACACAACTTCAAACTTGAAAGCCCCTTATCCAAGAGATGTTTTATGATTATGTGAAATAATTTTCCTCTCAATAAGCACTGCAAGTACTCACTTGGCCTTTTGAAAATTAAATATGCATAATTACTAATATTTTATTTTAGCTCCTGCAGGGAACAAAGCAGCATGATTTACGTGAGCTTAAGAAAAATGTAAGACAGCTTATATTCAATATGAGTTGGACAAAATAAAGACCAAGTACAACATGAAAAGTTGAATGTAATTAATTGATACAAATTTTATTCTTAGTTTAGAAAAAAATCTATAGAACTCAAAAAGTTATGAGCATAAATCATCATGGGTTTTACAGGGGTTTGATGCTTGAGGTATATAAAACTTAAGATTATTTTTCTCTTCTGAAATCTAATCATGTGTGACTTTTATTCTATTAGAGAATCCTTTAAGCCATACCTGCTTTCAAGGAAAGGTTAAGAGCCTGACCCTAATATATATATTCCTGGAGATCAATAAACACAGCTCAAACTTCTATGTATGCAGAAAATATCTAAAAGTTTGTGAAAATAAAGATGTAATTTACTACATTCAGCTTGGAGCCTAAAATTCCATATTGTTGTTGGCCTTAGGAGTTCACAGAGCTGTTATGAACTGCACCATAATTGTCACTCATCTTAGAACACAATGTTTTGAGAAAAGATTTTAATTTTGTTTCATCTGAACAGTCCAGATTTTTGCCTTTTCATCAATCAATCCAAAAAGATAGACTTGTATAAATAAATAAAACATGTGAAGTTCTAGGTGGATATCTGAAATTTAATATGAAGCTTTCTTGTAACAGTTTGACATTTGTGTTTTGTAATTTTAACTAATCATGATTATAGACTAAAAAAATGCCAAAAGGCATCTGTAGCAGAAAAAGAAGTTCATTCACCTTAAACTATTTTAATGTTAACTTTTCTAAAGAGTTGGAAAATTAAAAGGTTCCATAAAACAAAATGAAGCCAATAACTCCTGCAATATAGGAAGGCTTAACATATTACACAATGAAATGTTGTTAAAATTATTTTTTACACCAGGACTAGAAAAAAATCCAATGTGGAACTAAGACATTATGATAAAACTGCGGTATGCCTGTTGAGATCTTAATCATCTTTTTGAAAACAAAGTAAAATATAAACTACTTAGTGAAGTCTTCTGTAATATAGTCAGATAAAAATGTATAAATAGCTCAGTTATAGTAATTTTTCTTGAATTTGCTTGAAAAATATTCAGTAAGGTTTACAACAGAAAAGATACAATGCATGCAAGGAAATAAAAATGTAGGGGTAGGAAAAGCAATTGAGTTTCTAGCTATCTCTTTCCATTCTGATGGCACGATTCAAATGATTTTTTTTTTTTTGTTTCATCATTTTGTCAGTTATATCTCCAGGCAGTTCATCATTAAATGAGCCGCAAAAGCCATCTTTGTAAATGAGAAGTGTTCTACCCACCACTTTTTACAAACCACCTCCTCTGCCTCATCAAAAAATTTAAAAGAATCCCCTCTTTCCAGATGCCATGCTCAAGCGATGACAATGATAATCATCTTCAACTATTAAGAAGCAAATTTAAGAAAACAGAATGAAGGGAGTTTAGCAGTCCAAAGCATAGGCTTAACCCAAAGCTTACAGTAAATAGAGTATCCAACACCATTAAATAAAGGGAATTTCCTTTAGAAATGTGGAATAAGATACATTATTTAAAATGCTAAACTAAAATGAAGTACAGTGATTCAAACTTATAACCAGGTAGAAATCAGGAAGATCACATTTTATGACCAGCCTAAACAAAATGTTACTGAGACTATAACTCAACCAACTACAGTAGTGTGGAATACAGTTGTAATCTCAAGTATAAAGGAGGTGTAGACTGGAGGACTAAGGTCTAAAAACATCAGCTAAAAATCTAAAAGGATTCAGAGCATGGTTTATATGGTAGAGTGCTTTCTGGGAAGCATAAGACCCTTAGTCCAAATCCAGTGCTAGAAAAAGATATAAAGTTAAAGCATATATTTAGATCCTACAGATTGAACTATTTTCATTAAGTTTTATTTTTGTAGTTAAAAAATGCGCTGACAAATATGAATATTTTGTGGATTTTATATGACAAAATTATAATGAACTAATTTACAATTAATGCAGCTATGATGGTCATGAAAAACTTCCAGTTATTTTTTAATGTAAAATAAAATTAAAGGTGACTAGTATGTATATTAATTCTTCTTTCTATATAACCAGCCATTCATCAAAGAAAACACACTGTCAGCTCCATATTAGGAATAACATGTAGTGATCTGAGGTATATTACAATTAATATAGCTAATATTAATGCATGGTATATTTACAGTGTGCTATAAAATGACCTTTAAACTTTTTCACCACAAAAACATCATAATAGTATGAAGAGCTACATTTTTATAAATGAACTTCATTATGTTAATCATTACATAATGTTTGTGGGTGTCAAAGAATCTAGTTGTAACACCTCAGTAAAGTTGGACAAAAAGTCTTTTGTCAGAAAAGGCTTTGGGCACTATAGTTGGCCTATGTATATTAAACACTTCCTATATTACAACTTCTATGTAAGCTTCTCTAGTTATCAAAAATGTATAGATACATACTAACAAGAAGTTAGGATTTCCAAATTTTATGATGGGTTGTGATACACTGAGCTGATGCTACTTTCTGTATTCCATCAGTTACGTATACTGACATACACTGTGAATCTGTGTGCAGAAAGAGAAAAATAATGTTCTTGGATGAACTAAAACCCAATGCTTTCTTGAAACTACAAGCAACTAAATTGGTATAGGCATGGATTCTATAACTATTGTCATGTTTATGCATGCCACATCAAGCTCCTCTTCTTTCATAGTTTCTTCCACTTGTTCTGAAAGTCCATCACCAGTTCTAACTTGCATTGCACAAAATATGGGAGGAAAACATTTAGCTCACAACTTACTAACAACAGGTACAAGTTTCATCTGTGGGCATTGCCTTTGGTACTACAAACTTATGAATTTCACAAATAATTCTTCTCAGACATTCAGGTGAAGTGAATTATACAGGGATCTTGTTAAAATGAGCTTCTGGGTCTACTGCTCCATGATGCACTGAATGTGATGCATTTCTTATGAGATCCTTGGAGATAGCAGCACCTCCAGAGTCTGACTGACAAAAGAAGCAAACCTATATAAATTGCCTGGTTGACAATTAGCAAAAAAATGTAGAATTCTAGTTGCTTCTCCAAAAAAATTATATTTCATCTCTGCTGCTAGTCTCTATCTTTCGTTTTAGGCAACTTATTGTTCTACTACTATATGATAATGTAATCTTTGTAAAGTTCTATTGAATAGCAATTAAACTTAACATGGTTGGTGGAAGGGGAGTAATTTGGAGAGGCAACTAAATAAGCAGTTAAGACAACATGTATGCACATAGGAATATTGCCTAGCTAACCACTGAAAACCAGAACACAGTGACTGTAAGCACTTTCTATATTTTGTTTCTCATTTCAAACACACAAAATAAAAACATACATTTTAGGATAGATAACTAAAATATATTTTTGTTCACCCAAGAAACAGTACTTAGAATTACTGTCTAATTGCCTTTACTATCTAAGCAGATTCACCAATTTTTTTTCATAAATATTTCAAAGCAAACAAAACTAGAAAGAAATATGGGGAAATTTTGGTCCATACTTAAATAGATGGGAATCAGATTACAGTCTCGTCTTCCTAATACATATATTTAATATCTTTATTTTTATATAATAAGATTAAAATGGATAATCTCCAAAGTTTTATCCAAATATATCATAAACAATGCTTGGTTTACACAGCACAGTGAAACTTACAATTTCCAAGTTCATTAACTAAAGCCTTCTTTATAAAGAAACAAGTTCAAGATATATAGCTAGTTAATGTTTCATACACTTATTACAAATAATAAAGTAACAAAAATAAAACAACATATTCTCCAATGATAGTGAATTTTTCCCTTGTACTCTCTTGTATATTATATCAAAACTTAAATCATGTTGGCTAGAAAAAATTAACTTATTTTCTATCTTATTTCTAAGAGAAAAAGCAGTGCCTTAATCTGATATTCAACTCTTAATCTTCATATGGAATAAAGGAATGACCATTTGTTTGAAATTTCATTAAAGTGACCATAGAAGGCCACTTTCCAGGGTCAGGTTGTTTACCAGGCCTAAGGCCTGGGTATGAGATGCTATTTCTTGTAAATTAGATGTCATTTCCTGTAAAGTCCTGAGGAATCAGAAAGGTTTCTCTTCATTTACTGTCTTTCCTGTGATGTAGAAGTGCACTAATATTCCAATGTTTGGTCTCCTGACTGTGGATTTTTAAATACATGAAAAAAAATCCAGCTGATCTTTCGTGAGAATATGAAAGTAGAAATCATGCTTCCAACGTCTGTAATGTGAAATGCTGAGAGACACTACACTTATTTACCATCTTTCCCCTTGGCTATAAGGAACAGAAACTGTTACAATTTGATTTTATCCCTTTCAAAGCATATTGATGTTTTCAGATGAGCTACTAAACACAACATGCCACATGAAAGAAAGAGAAATTGACTAGATGAGAATGTGAAATCACAAAGGAGCCATAATTACACAGCGGTTTAGTTAGAAACAGTCTATGTAGGACTCCAGACAAAGGCTGTCAACACTATAGTTTACATGACTTGTTGGATTGCTGCTCAGTGAGCCAGTGGTTACCTTTTACTGCTTCAATAAAATAAGATTAATAATAGCAATTAAACTAAAAGACTTGTATTGTAAGACTTCCATATATTTCTTATTTTTAAGAGCTATGAGAACTGCAGAATTACATGTAATTTGTCTTTCTGATCAACATTCA